AATGTTACAGACGGACATTTGAATTTGTTTATATGTACTTATACAGATTCTTTATAATATAGTAGATATTAAGTATATATATTTTGGTAACTACACTGTACTATTTCGTATTTTGTTCTACCTTATATGTTCATTACTTATTGATTAATTTTATTAGGTGAATTGTTCACACCTGCCACAGTTTCTCAAGTCACCCAGGTGGGACAGGTAGAGAATGCCATAATTCATTAAGTTCGCCCTTTAGAACTCTTGTTATAAGTTCAGTTCATCCATCCATTACAATCTCTATAAAAATAAACATATTTATATTTAATTCGCAATCATCCACTTAATTAAATACAATGATGTGTCTTACCTGGCTTGAAGAGCACCTCCCGCCCTCCCTCAATTGCGTCCACTAATCCCGTCACCACTAATTCCAGCACTACCACTGCCAACACCACTACTTCCGGCACCCCTACTCCCAACACCACTATTGCAGGTAAGACACACCATCGACGATAGTACGAGACGTGTTTCGCCTCTACACGAGGCATCCTCAGGTGATGTAGACTCTACGGCGGCTGACCGCTAAGTGACTTAGTGACTCTCTTTGAGTTGTTATCGACTACAGGCTTCTGTCCATCTTCTAATTTAACTTTCCTCCGTAGTTTTTTTACGACACCCACAGGATAGGCTTGTGGGTAGTGATATAAAATGAATACTGTTGCTCATAGAAATTTACATTTATCCGCAATTGGTCCCCAACTAGAATGGAATGCCTCGTTTCGAGTAAAAAGGGCCCGATTCTTTACACTCACCATACGAAACATTGCGCTGGTATTTTGTGAAAGCGTTGTTCTTTCTCGGTCGAGCCGACCCATTTGTGCTACAAACATAATATAGCTGCAGCGTGTCCCTACCACATAAAACGTGGCTCTATTACGCATAATAATGATTTAATAAATAAATATTTAATACTTCAATATAAGGTTACAAATTTATTTGTTGCGTTAATACATAACGTGACACAATTAGCGCTCAGTGTACAGTTAATGCAATTGAGTCGCGCTGCGGTTGAACACTACCCGTGATAAATGTGCGGCCGCGGAACGCTACTGTATTATAAAATGCTTTGACAAAATACTTTATCATTTATTTTAAATATAACCGAACCGATAATAATGTGTGTTTTTATGAGAGGAGGCAAATGAGCATGCGGCTCACCTGATAGTAAGTGACTACAGTTTAAAACATAAACATAACATAACATAAACACTCACGCCTGTCACCCAGAGGGGTAGGCAGAGACTACAGACTTCCATTTGGCACGATCCTGACACACCTCTCTCGCCTCCTTCACATCCATACACCTACGCATACATGCTCGTCGGTTAAGGGTACTCCTAATTTGGCCCGTTTTCAATAAATCGCCAATTTGGTCGATAAATTTTCGCCTAGGACGTCCCATTCCGAGTGCCATTCACTTCTGCAACATAAATTTTCTTTGTCACTCTTTCCTCATTCATTCTTTCCACATGACCAAACCACCGAAGCATTCCTTTCTTAATCCTGGTCACAACATCATCTTGCAAACCACACTCTTCTCTTATTACACAATTTCTTACCCTGTCGTTCAGATTCAGCATAACATACTCCTTAAGGACCGCATTTCTACTGCGTTGATTCTAATCTCGTGCTTCTTCTGCCACACCCAACTTTCACTACCATACGTTAAAGTAGGGACCAACTCAGCATTGTGAATTGCCATATGTGCCTTTTTTGACACATTTTAACTCTTCACAATAGAGTGCAGGGCCCCATTTACTCTAACATTTGAACCCTATAAATATTTTACGTACAAGGCTGTTTTTTAAAAGAACTGTTTTTTTTTTCACAGGCACTATGCGCATCTTAACCGACTGTCGCACTATTTAGGGCTTACTTCATTATACGTTACAAGAACATTTGCACATTATGCTACTAAGATAGTCAAACGAAAAGCTCATCATCATCATTACAGCCCATCACAAATCCCCAGTTGAACATAGCCCTCCGCGAAGGAACACCACGAAACATGACCATAAGCCAACTGCATCCCTCGAGTTCCTGTATCTCTGAACAGGTCGTCACTCCATCTCGTGAGTGGCTGCCCTATATACACTTTACTTACCGATACGAGGTTACAACTCTTTGTTCTCTATCGGTTTTCAGTTTTTCACACTATAATATGGCCAGCATATTGCCGTCTCAGATAAGACAAATGTCCAGACTCGGAAGAATAGTTAGTAGGTCTGTGGCGGCGCTGACGTCACGCCACAAGCGAAACACATCGAAGCCTAAATCACGCTATCAAAGTTCCGAATCAAAAACAGTATATACAACATGTAACAAAAACCCTGTGGTTCCCGTTAAGTACGTTATCAAAATCAGTATCTCAGCGTATAGAAATATATTTTTTTCAAAAAAACACATTAAAAAAATTATTTTAATGAAGAAAAAGTTAATTTGCAAACTGTATGTGATTTTATTATCTCTGCATTGGCCGAGGAGTAAGAGGATTGTCAAAGACCCCGCATTACCGATACTCGAGTGAGTTTTAGTGGATACTGATTCTGACAACGCAGTTAACGGGAACCACAGGGTTTTTGTTACATGTTGTATAGAATAGCTCCGAACTATCAAATGGAGCGTTGGCCGCTCCCCGGGCAGAACACCTTGCCTGGCGGGAGATCTCCCTTTTTCCATCACGGCCACAGGTCATACAAAGAGTTGTTCCATGCGGAATTTAAATCTGTTTTTTTTTTAATTAATTGATTTAAGTTCGTCTTTTATTTGCTACCTGATCTTTTTTTTTCGGACGGATACGAATTAGATACCATCAAGAAACGATCTTAGTACATTTAAAAGGCCGGCAATGCACCTGCAATTCCCCTAGTATTGCAGTTGTTTATAGGTGGCGGTAGTCACCAATGGTGAGCCGCATGTTCGTTTGCCCCCTCTTCTTTAAAAAAATGTAAGCAAGTCTTTTTAAGTTTTGTACATTTCGGATAGAATGTTAAAATTGCAAGCTGGTACGTACAGAGTGCGGTGAAATTGTTACCGCACAACAAAGTTACAGCTCGCAACGAACTATTGCAGTGCGGGGAACATCCGGATGGCTCTTTGAAAATTTCTCTTTTACATTTTATTCTATACGCTCGTACGGAATGTCATGTGCAACCTTTGTTTAACTTTGTAAGCTTGCTGGAATCGTACACGACGAGGCAATTGAACATATCATTTTTACGACTATTGAGAGTTGAGTTACCTATTAAATTTTGACGACTCCATGGCGCAGTGGCTTGGCAATGAGTGGATGCGCTGGGGGTCGCGGGTTCGAACCCGCACGGAACAAGTATTTGTATGGCCTACAAATAATTGTTCCGGGTCTGGATGTTTGTCTTTGTGCAATTTATGTTTGTAAACTGCCCCCAAGATACAGGAAAAAATCCTAGTTTAGGGGTAACGTTTTTAAAAATATAAATAAATATATAAAAAAAATTAAAACGAATGAATTTAAAATACGATCTTTTACTAACCATAAATTTTAACAGATCAAATATAACGGATCTTAATGTACTTAATGTTTAAAAATAATAAGGTACCTTGCAAATTAAAGCTTTTGACTACTTCAAGATGCTTGAGAGGGTTTGTTAATCGATTTTTTTAGAACGTAGGTGACAAGCAGGCACACAGTTCACCTGATGCTAAATGGATGCTGTGGTACATAGACACTACATTTATCTTCAATTAAGAATCAGAATGTAGTTGCGTTGTCACCCCTGAGGACTAAGATTAAATACCTCGATTCCAGTTAAAAGATATCTGGTTCTCCACGATCGCCATACGAAAAACAGCAACATTAAGCTGCTGTTTTAGGTTCGTATTCTATGAGGACGTGTTCCTAGAACTCGTGTTCCTAGAACTGTTCCTGAACATTCCTGCTACAACCATTATATAGCTGCAGCGTAGCTCTACCACGTATCATAACATACTTGAATACCACAGATTAATTATCAGGGACAGTGTTACCCAAGGGAGGGGAGGGTGATACCCTCCCTTGTCACACGTCTGTGATCTACTGCATATATTGGTATAATTAATAGTGTGTATCCAACCTTACTGACACTGTGTTCAGACATTCAGAAGTGCAAGGGCTTACTTCTTTTTAAAAGGTCGCCAACACTAGTATTCAAGTTGTATATGGACGCCGGTCCACACTTACTATCAGGTGAGCCGCATGCTTGCTTACCTTCTCTTATATATAAAAAAGATGAACTAAGGAGTCTAAAAATTTAATGTTAGACAGTTTCTTTGTGCCGCTAAAATAAATGAGTTTCTCGTTGCGTAAATTTCGTGTTAGTGATATACGCGCTCCTGCTGACAGTGAAAAATGGTCCCATTATGTAACCAAAAAACGTAAATGTATTTAATTACAACTTATCTTAATAGAGGTTATAATTGTTGATTAAAAAATCACACAATTTTTGTTGTAAACTTGCAATCTGCCCCGGCTTCGCGCGGGTGACAGTGGATCTCGACAACAGCGGCACCTACCGGCTGCAATTGTGAATCTAAACCATCCAAGGCTCCGCTCAAAAATAAACAAATATCTTTGTCAAAATCGGTGCAGACGTTCTCGAGTGACGACTTTTCACATATGCGGCAACTGATTTTTATTTATATAATTATACAATTGATATTTATTTTTATTATGAACAAATAATTAAATATCCACATAATAATAATAATAATAATAATAAGAATGGCGTAGGGAAGTGACGACCCCATCGCCCGTTGACGTGACGGTTATGTGACAAAACCGCTACGTCCGCGCAGTCAGTCAGCACCTTGCCAAGAGGTGTGAGCGCCGTGCCTCGGCAAAAATTGATGGTGCAAGGGCCCGCTTGTGCATATGGCCTCACCATGAAACGGCGCCGGGTCTGGGCGTCTCCCATTAATGACGCCCTGTATGGATGATGGAACACAGAAGATTGCGCAAAGAGCCGCTACCTGGAGGTCGTCAGGGCGCGTCTGGAGCTGGCGCTGGACGCGACAGCATGCGAACCGCCAGCCGAGCGCGAGGTGCTGCACGACCACCCAGCAGCCCCTCGCATCCACCATCCCCACCAGCTTGCTTGGTGTCGGCAGGGTCTTCGCAGACCCAGCAATCGGCACCCGCCACTGGTGGAGTACGCCGCATGCGACGGACCATCAATATGAATTCAAACGCATTGCCGGCGTATTTTAGGGCGAAAGGGGGAGAAATTGGAGGTTTCGCGTATCGGGCTAGGATGCATCGTCTTTTTACTGAGCTGGAGCCATCTATTACTGTCACCGAGCAAAACCTGGCAGACCGAGTTCGGTATATCTTACGCTCAAATATATTTGATGGCGCCGAACTCGAACGGCTACGACGTGAGGCTGTTCCCTCATCAAATGAAAACGCTACGACTGGGGGTGCGGTGCCACAAGTTGCAGAACAACCCGCACACGTGGATGCCGCCGATAATACCCCAGTGGTTGCTGATTCAAATGATGATGGAACATTCACCCAGGAACTAGAAATAGAGCAAATGAGGAGTACATTGGAAGAGGCGATTATGGAAACGCGCAGTACGCCTCTCGAAAATCGACCGCGACTTCCCCGCATAGCCCTCAGCAAGCGGAATCGGGCTATCGTGAGGGCTCTGAACCCATGCTGGTGACCTATTTAGAAGCCAGCCGGGTCCTTTGCGAGACGGACTTAATTCTCTTTGGCGCCGCACTAGCAGTCTGCCGTATTATAGGCGCCAAACTTTCCACGGCTGGACGCACTACTGGACAAAGTAGTGCTATCCCAGCCTGGAGAACAAGAATTGAAGAACGTATCGCAAAGGCTAGGGCCCTCATCGGCAGACTGATATGCTTCAGGTCAGGCAATACCAGGCCAAGGATTGTGCGCACCGTCAGGATGGCGTTTGCTGGGACAAATGTCAGTTTGTCCCAGCCGGATATAATGCAAAAACTGACGGAGCGCATAGACGACCTGAAGCAGAGAATCGCTGCTTGGGGAAAGCGAATTCGGCGATATACCGAGAGGTCGACACGGTTCAACCAGAATCGTCTCTTCCAGAGTGATCAGAAGAGGCTCTATAAATCATTGGAGCGACCAATGGTAAGTGGAACGGGCCCAGTACCGAATCAGGCCGACACGGTCGCATTCTGGCGCAGCCTGTGGTCAGAGCCCGTAAACCACAACGAGGGCCCTTGGACGGAAGTTGTGGCGAGTCAGTGTGCGGGTATTACGCCCATGGACCCCGTCACCATAACGCCGGATGACGTAGCTGAGGCGGTCCGTAGGGCCCCGAACTGGAAAAGTCCGGGACTCGACGGGCTGCATCACTACTGGCTGAAGGGGTTCGTGGTGTGTCACACTGTGCTCGCCCGACAGATTCAAGAGGTTCTCAACCAGAAGTCGCTCCCGAGCCTCTTCACTACTGGGATCACCCATTTGGTTCCTAAAGGCCAGGGTACCACAGACCCGAGCAAATACCGCCCCATCACATGTCTACCGACCATATACAAGACACTAACATCCATTTTGAGCGCGAGAATCACTCGTCACCTGGATTCAAATCAGGTGATGTCGCGCGCTCAAAATGGATGTCGGGGGCGGTGGTCGTGGAACCAAAGAACCACTCCTCATTGACGCGGTCATTGGCAAAGTGGTGAAACGCAACCGTCGGAACTTCTCCGCCGCCTGGATAGACTACAGAAAGGCATTCGACTCGGTGCCCCATACATGGCTAAAGAGAGTCCTCGAACTGTACAAGATAGACTGTACAGTTAGAGACTTCCTCGAGCAGTGTATGGGGCAGTGGAGTACGATCCTTTGTCATCTGGGCGAGCGGATGATGGCTGCGGAGAACCACATAAGGATAAGAAAGCGTATCTTCCAGGGCGATTGTCTGAGTCCAATCTGGTTCTGCCTCTCTCTGAACCCTCTCAGTACCTTACTGGAGGGCTCCGGGAGGGGATTTCAGCTACGGAGAGGAGGGACAAAAGTGACCCACCTTTTCTATATGGATGACCTCAAGTTATTCGCCTCCAGTCGCTCCCATCTTATGGAATTGCTAAACATCACTTGTGAATTTAGCAATTCCATTGGAATGGAGCTTGGGACGGATAAGTGTGCGGTCCTCCATGTTGAAAGGGGAAGGGTTGCTAACTCTGAGGGCGTAGACTTATCTATGCCCGTCAACTTAAGGACCCTTTCCGAGGCTGAAACATACCGATACCTGGGTATGTCACAAAACATCGGTATCGATGAGACTGGTATGAAACAGTCAGTTTGCGACGTGTTTTATGCACGCTTGACCAAAGTGCTTAACAGCCTTTTGTCCGGTGTGAATAAGGCACACGCATATAACGGTTGGGTCATGCCTGTCCTCATGTATACCTTTGGCATACTCAGGTGGACTCAGACTGAACTTAACGCCCTGGATAGAAAAGTCCGCACTACCATGACGTCCCATAGGATGCATCATCCGAGATCGTCGGTAATGAGGCTGTACTTGCCGCGGAAGCATGGTGGTCGTGGCTTCTTGAGCGCGCTCACCATGCATAATCGCGAAGTGTGCAGCCTCCGTGATTACTTCCTGGCGAGATCGGATGATCCATTCTATAAGGACGTCATTTCTTGTGATAAAGGACTTACCCCCTCTATCCTTAGCCAACGAGCAATGGCAAGACCCGGCAGTGCAGAGCATTTCCGACCGGGAGACCGTATGGAAGGAGAAGGAGCTCCACGGGAGGTTCTACAAGGCTCTACATGAGCCTTTCGTAGACACAGTAGCCTCCCTCCACTGGCTACGCTTTGGTGATCTCTTCGGGGGAAACCGAGGGTTTTGTCTGTGCAATACAGGATCAGGTTATTAAGACCAACAACTATCGGAGATACATCCTAAAGGATGGCACCGTCGACATCTGTCGAGCTTGTCGCCATCCCGGTGAGTCACTTAGGCATGTTATCTCCAGTTGTTCGGCGCTTTCTAACTCTGAGTACTTGCACAGGCACAACCTAGTAGCCAGAATTCTACACCAGGAGCTCGCTCTGAAATACGGTCTCGTGGATCGGAAATTGCCGTACTACAAGTACTTGCCGGAAGCCGTGCTCGAAAATGATCGCGTCAAGCTCTATTGGGACCGGGCTATCATCACAGACAGGACTATTCTTGCGAATAAGCCTGATATTGTGCTGATGGACCGGGCACAGTCAAGGATATTTTTGGTCGACATTACCATTCCGTATGACGAGAACCTCGTGAAAGCCGAAACAGACAAGCAAACAAAATATCTGGACCTGGCTCACGAGGTGACCGACATGTGGGGTGGTCTGCCGTCCGAAATTATTCCTGTAGTCGTCTCTGCAAACGGGCTAATCCCAGTCAGCCTCTCGGGTCATCTGAGGCGGCTGGGACTACGTGGCGGACCGCTCCAGGTTCAAATGCAGAAGGCGGTGCTCCTCGATACCGCCCGCATCGTCCGCCGGTTTCTTTCCCTTTCCCCCTAACCCTCGGCCGTTTGGTCTCCCCTGCCGAGGGCCTCCATCTGGTTGGGCTTTTACTTATTTATGTACTTTTATATTTATTTTATGTTATTGATATTTATGTATATTTATCTTTTCATTTTCATTTATAATTATATATTTATAGAACCCAACCAGATGAGAAAACTATATAGATACCCCATAATAATAATAAGCACCGAATCAGGCCGACACTGTAGCATTCTGGCGCGGCCTGTGGTCAGAGCCCGTAAACCACAGCGAGGGCCCTTGGACGGAAGTTGTGGCGAGTCAGTGTGCGGGTATTACGCCCATGGACCCCGTCATCATAACGCCGGATGACGTAGCTGAGGCGGTCCGTAGGGCCCCGAACTGGAAAAGTCCGGGGCTTGACGGGCTGCATCACTACTGGCTGAAGGGGTTCATGGTGTGTCACTCTGTGCTTGCCCGACAGTTTCAAGAGGCTCTCAACCAGAAGTCGCTCCCAAGCCTCTTCACTACTGGGATCACTCATTTGGTTCCTAAAGACCAGGGTACCACAGACCCGAGCAAATACCGCCCCATCACGTGTCTACCAACCATATACAAGACACTAACATCCATTTTGAGCGCGAGAATCACTTGTCACCTGGACTCAAATCAGGTGATGTCGCGCGCTCAAAATGGATGTCGGGGCGGTGGTCGTGGAACCAAAGAACCACTCCTCATTGACGCGGTCATTGGCAAAGTGGTGAAACGCAACCGTCGGAACTTCTCCGCCGCCTGGATAGACTACAGAAAGGCATTCGACTCGGTGCCCCATACATGGCTAAAGAGAGTCCTCGAGCTGTACAAGATAGACTGTACAGTTAGACTTCCTTGAGCAGTGTATGGGGCAGTGGAGTACGATCCTTTGTCATCTGGGCGAGCGGATGATGGCTGCGGAGAACCACATAAGGATAAGAAAGCGTATCTTCCAGGGCGATTGTCTGAGTCCAATCTGGTTCTGCCTCTCTCTGAACCCTCTCAGTACCTTACTGGAGGGCTCCGGGAGGGGATTTCAGCTACGGAGAGGAGGGACAAAAGTGACCCACCTTTTCTATATGGATGACCTCAAGTTATTCGCCTCCAGTCGCTCCCATCTTATGGAATTGCTAAACATCACTTGTGAATTTAGCAATTCCATTGGAATGGAGCTTGGGACGGATAAGTGTGCGGTCCTCCATGTTGAAAGGGGAAGGGTTGCTAACTCTGAGGGCGTAGACTTATCTATGCCCGTCAACTTAAGGACCCTTTCCGAGGCTGAAACATACCGATACCTGGGTATGTCACAAAACATCGGTATCGATGAGACTGGTATGAAACAGTCAGTTTGCGACGTGTTTTATGCACGCTTGACCAAAGTGCTTAACAGCCTTTTGTCCGGTGTGAATAAGGCACACGCATATAACGGCTGGGTCATGCCTGTCCTCATGTATACCTTTGGCATACTCAGGTGGACTCAGACCGAACTTAACGCCCTGGATAGAAAAGTCCGCACTACCATGACGTCCCATAGGATGCATCATCCGAGATCGTCGGTAATGAGGTTGTACTTGTCGCGGAAGCATGGTGGTCGTGGCTTCTTGAGCGCGCTCACCATGCAGAATCGCGAAGTGTGCAGCCTCCGTGATTACTTCCTGGCGAGATCGGATGATCCATTCTATATGGACGTCATTTCTTGTGATAAAGGACTTACCCCTCTATCCTTAGCCAACGAGCAAATGCAAGACCCGGCAGTGCAGAGCATTTCCGACCGGGAGACCGTATGGAAGGAGAAAGAGCTCCACGGGAGGTTCTACAAGGTTCTACATGAGCCTTTCGTAGACACAGTAGCCTCCCTCCACTGGCTACGCTTTGGTGATCTCTTCGGGGGAAACCGAGGGTTTTGTCTGTGCAATACAGGATCAGGTTATTAAGACCAACAACTATCGGAGATACATCCTAAAGGATGGCACCGTCGACATCTGTCGAGCTTGTCGCCATCCCGGTGAGTCACTTAGGCATGTTATCTCCGGTTGTTCGGCGCTTTCTAACTCTGAGTACTTGCACAGGCACAACCTAGTAGCCAGAATTCTACACCAGGAGCTCGCTCTGAAATACGGTCTCGTGGACCGGAAATTGCCGTACTACAAGTACTTGCCGGAAGCCGTGCTCGAAAATGATCGCGCCAGGCTCTATTGGGACCGGGCCATCATCACAGACAGGACTATTCTTGCGAATAAGCCTGATATTGTGCTGATGGACCGGGCACAGTCAAGGATATTTTTGGTCGACATTACCATTCCGTATGACGAGAACCTCGTGAAAGCCGAAACAGACAAGCAAACAAAATATCTGGACCTGGCTCACGAGGTGACCGACATGTGGGGTGGTCTGCCGACCGAAATTATTCCTGTAGTCGTCTCTGCAAACGGGCTAATCCCAGTCAGCCTCTCGGGTCATCTGAGGCGGCTGGGACTACGTGGCGGACCGCTCCAGGTTCAAATGCAGAAGGCGGTGCTCCTCGATACCGCCCGCATCGTCCGCCGGTTTCTTTCCCTTTCCCCCTAACCCTCGGCCGTTTGGTCTCCCCTGCCGAGGGCCTCCATCTGGTTGGGCTTTTATTTATTTATGTACTTTTATATTTATTTTATGTTATTGATATTTATGTATATTTATTTTTTCATTTTCATTTATAATTATATATTTATAGAACCCAACCAGATGAGAAAACTACATAGATACCGCATAATAATAATAATGTCCTCCAGACCAAAATTCGGTTGCGGCTGTCAACCTCAACTGAGACTAGCCATCTGCGAAGGACAGGTTTACAGTGCCCAAGCGTGTGCGCAAGCACAGGTGCACTGTCTATTCCCTAACTGTCAAAGTGCGATGTGACGATAAACTCACCGGAAAAAGATCAGGCACAGGACCAACGGCTTTTCGTGCTTTTTAGCACGGATATGAGACACTTATAATATTGATTACTTGACACCTCGATGTCAGAGTAATAAAATACTGTTTGCTTCCTGTAGAACGGATCGTGGCGTTACGCTAGAAGTTGATAAATTTAGATAAGCTATGTAATGCCTGGTAATGCCGGTGTAAGAATATCCCCACCCCATTCCATCAAAGTAACTGGCGCCAAAGCCGTTGATCGTACGTTTGTATTCCAGTCGGAACCAAACTTTGTGACTACTAGTGTTTATATTGTACTTCTTACTCAGATTCTTAAAATAAAATTAAAACAATGGTGCGTGGTAGCCACAATCGAGATTACACTCGCACTGAATACCGGCGTAGTGCGACAAGAACCTTTTTACTGTATACGAGGCATTCCATCTTAGTACTCAATGGTGACAACGCATCTGCATTTGTGTTCTTAACCTAAGATAAATGTGGATTGGCCACAGTCCTCACTTACCATAAGTTCACCCGGTGTTAACGTTTGTCACTTTTGAATCTGTAAAAAAGTAAACTGCTGGCCCTGGCCTCGTCCCCTAGTGCTACTGTTATAGAGCACGTGGCAAGTTTGATCTTGGATGACATATTAGATGGAGCCGACGGGCTGGTGGTTTGCTCGCATACTGACGTTAATAAATACTTGTTTAGTTAGTGAATTGGTGGTAGCGTAGATAGTTAAATAGTAGTATATCTGCTATATCTATACGTGGTAGAGACATGCTGCAGCTATATTATGGTTGTAGCACGAATGGGTCGGCTCGACCGGGGAAGGACCACGCTCTCACAGCATACTAACGTAAAATAAACATAATTACTCGGCCGTGAACCCGTGAAAATATAGAACTGGGGTTAAAAAAGTGAAGTATGTTTACATTAAAAGAAAAACTATAGCTTATGTAATAAATCTCGAGTGAAAATAAATGTAATTTTTTATATATGGTATGATATGTGATATTTTTCATGTTAACGTGTAGTTGTAAAGTTTATTAATACCAAAAATAAGACAGGTTTAATAACGTACGAAATAAAATCACATGTGTATCATGTATCGACTTAATAATATTATAGCTGCGTTTGAGAGAAAAAAGCGCTAGCAAGCGCTTATAAGCAAAATGACGAAACTAAACAGCTGCGCTGCGCCCTCCTTTCTGCCAAGGAGGGTCGCGTTCGTATACGGCTTAGAGATCTCTCGTCAGATCGGTAAGCCAATCCTTAAAGGTGGGGTTTAGTGGGTAAAAGTCTCCACATAACCACGCAGCCGGCTGCGTGGTATGCTATGAGCATTCCCCACCTCCCTCCTCCGCTTTCCGGAGGGTTGCCCATATTTGCTTCGGGCGCAAAAAAAATAACAAAACAGTTTTCGGCCAGGACACGTCCGCTAACTTCAGTAGCACTGACACAATCCGCCATTTTGCTTATTTAATTTGTTTGTTTTGAAGTAGAGTTTATAAGTTGTTTTGTGCAATATTAGTTTCAAGTAATATAATGACTTAAATAAACATATTATACATGTTATTGAAAATTCAATATTGGTAAGTTTTTAATATGAATACTTTACAAACATATATTTAAATTAGGTTAGGTTCCCCGGTTAAAACTAACTTCGTGTCCTAGAGGAAAATAGCTACTTACGATTTGACAGCGCTTACCGCTTACGATCTCCATTTTGTTTACAAGCGCTTGCTAGCGCTTCTTTCTGCCAAACGCATCCAATGTATAACCTAATCATGATCATTAGATTATAATTTTTTTAAATAAAATAATTTTATATCTTGTTTAACTACTTTAATTTTATTCAATTCAGAAATTACGTAAATTTAAAGCCTATGTAACATTGTATTTTACTTTATCTTCAATATTAAATTTATTATTATGTTATAAGATTCAGGGTTCATATGATATTATATTTTAATACTTCATTTCACAGTGTAATTATCTGTAATCGTAAATCAAAACTTTATTATATGTATCAAGAAAGTAAAATGTAAGTAAAAAACATTTATTTTTTAAATATTGGGTGAGGTGTAGTGTATGTGTCTCCAACCTACTAGAAAGAAGTGTAATAAATAAATGTGCTCTTAGGTTTTGTAGGTAGTATGATTAAAGTCTTAAACTGAGCAACACATCTCCTTTTATTGAACGCCGACCAGCAACCTTTCCTACATTACACCAGCTTAATGCTACCGTGTTTCGTATGGTAAGTTTAGAGAACCGGAGGCCCTTTTTACTGTATACGAATTCCATCTTAGTCCTCAGAGGTGACAATGCATCTGCATTTTGGTTCTTAATTGAGGGTGAATGTAGATACGAACACTGCCGCACTAGCTCAGTGAATGGTAGCTGTGGCTCTCAATTTATTATTTATATTTTAAAAAGCTTCTTCATCAGCGTTTTCTTTTGCCGTCGAGCATGTTGTAAATTGTTTTTTTTTTCCTATAATTATTAAAAAATGCTTGAAAT